AGCAACTAAGCAATTACAAATCTCTTTATGTATGTAAATCCATACATATATACATATGTATATGTACATATTAATATGTATGCACGTATGGTATATGTAGTATATACTTTTATATATTTGTACGAAGTGAGTTCTGTAATTACTCTACAGATTCATAGTTTTCTGAAATCCGCTGCCTCATAAATTACACCTGCACGCTAATGTAATTTAATTATTGGTAATGACAACCACTTAATTAGCAGACTCGGCAACGATGTTCATGAAAGTAGCTATGCGCACATAAACGCAAATTTATACAAGCACAAGCATCTGCATTAATCACCGTAAACTTTTAACTTTACAAATTTGTACTAAACGACATTAAATAATATTATTACTTGAGTATGTTAAGATTTGTATAAATTATAATAAATCATATAAATAAATTAGCTATTCAGAAAGCATATTTATCGCTTTTCGACAATTACTCTTTAAGGGAAATTTTTCTATTCAGAAGAAAAACTATATTTACGTAGTTGTTACGCATTTAAAATCAATTTAGTTGCTTTTCACAAATTTCCTTATAGAGGAAATTTTGTTGTTCACAAGAAAAACCACAATTATGATGTTGTCATGTATTTAAAGTAAATTATATTGCATTTTGAGAATTTCCCATGAAGGGAAATTTTTTACGCTATGTTTTATAAAGAGATTTACGTTCTATGGTTTTCTATTCAGAGGAAAAACTACCATTACGTAGCTGTTATGCATTTAAAATCAATTTGGTTCTTTTCACAAATTTCCTTATAGAGGAAATTTTGTTGTTCACAAGAAAAACCACCATTATGACGTTGTCATGTATTTAAAGCAAATTTAATTGCCTTTTGAGAATTTCCCATGAAGGGAAATTTTTTACGCTATGTTTTAAAAAGAGATTTACGTTTAATCGACAGCATTTCAATAGCATAAATGCTTTTTTAACAAAATATTTGCATTTTGTAATTTCCTGGCTTTATTAAAATTTATTTTAATATATTAATTTTTTTTTTTTAGAAATATTTGATTTCGTTTACCGAAAGCAAGTTGGCGTGTAGAAAATTTACTTAGCCAGTCGTACGTGATTAAGTAAGTAGATAAGCAAGCTTTTCGTATCCCAAAGGACTGCATACAGGCAGGATTAATACAGCTTTTCGTTAGACGCTATCATGGCAACTACATAAGTATTCGAATATGTATGAATGTGTGGATGAATGTATGTATGTATGCATGCAGTGTAAGTATCTGTATATGTATAGTAAGTATTCGCGCTTATTCAGCTGCCTGTATCTGCGCGCCGGAGTAGTGTGTTAATATGAAATATGATTTTTACGATACTGTCAGTTGTTGTTATTAGTGTTGTTGTCACGGCTGTCATTACGCTGCTATATTCGTAGGTATGTCTGCGCTTTTTGTTGTTGCCACTGCTACCGCTCCAATTTACGCTTTTACACTTCCGCAATGATGCGAAGCGGGATCGCCATGCCGCATTCAGCGTTGCGCCAAAACTTATTAAGCCACACTCATACATACAAGTAGATATAGAGTCAACCACTGACGCTGCATGAGCTTGTTTACATAGCGCAAAAGGTTGCAGTGATGACAGAAAAGCTGGATTGGCACACAAAAAGGAGACTGGCAACGCTACGAACAGCCGTGGCATGGCATGGCGAATGAAAGGATATTTTAATCTTTAGTTAACATGACAAGTGACTCAGCTTACGACAAGTAAACGGTTTTTTGTACGTGCCCCTATACCAATATGTTAACAAGGAAAAAGGCACAAGAGACTAACGAGCGGTAGCAGTGGGAGTACGGTATTTATTGGTGCACGTGTGTGTGCTTTTAATATAAATTTGTATGCAAAACTGTATGAGGAGGTAGTGCAAAACTACATACACACTCATACTTACATGTGTTTATGTAAAGCGCGTCACTTTTAATTGCAACAAAATAAAAAACGCCATTAAGCTGTAGCCAAACTATGCTCGTACAGCGTGTTGTAGGCTCAAGCCGTCTATAGTTTAATGAAGTGTACCGAAATGAGGTGTTGATGGCCATTTACATACAAACATACATACGAGTATATACTCAGAGTCATGCATACATGCATACATACGTACAAAGGTTTGGGTAAAAACGGTTATACGCGCATCAACGTTGCCGTCAACTAAAAACTGCTTAAATGAGTTTATATGTACGAAGATATAATTCCAGGTGTGTAGGGGTATTTTTGCAAGGATATGCAATTAAAATGTGTATGTGGTATACATATGTATGTAGATGTAAGAAGTAAATATATAAGTGCACTCACATGTGAATTTTTGTGCTTGCGTTGCTTTTTCACAGTTTGTCATTAGTCGTAGAATTTAGTATTTGAAGTGTTGAAGTCTGAAATAAAAAGGACGCAAAGTTGATTAGATATATGTAGATACATATATGAATAACGGAACACAACTTATAGAAGTTTTTAGTGTTATATAAATAATATAATATGTAAATAAATATATAATATATATATAAAATACTTTTATAAATATCACAGATAAATAGTAAATTACTGTATTTAACGTTCAAAATAAATATTTAAATATTACGCAACAAATTTCCCTTTTTCAAAAACATCCCTAAATTGTTCCAAAAGAAAAGTTTTTTTTCAACATTGATAATAACTATTAAAAATAATTCCAATTTTCAAAAATATCCCCAAAATTTCCCTTTGTGATTTTTTTTTTTTTTATTATAAGAGTAAGCAAAAATATTTCCAAAAATAGTTTTTAGGTATTTTCTTAAACTTGTATATGTCACCTTTTTGAACTATTAAATTTTATTTTCTTAGTATATGTATATATACTCGTAGCAACTCGTTCAAGTGCAGACACTTGTGTACGCTCCTCAAAAATGTGAAATTTGCACATTTTTAACAAATTAAAAAATTTAGTTATTAAAATTTTTTTTCAGTTACTTGAGAATTTGGTTTCAAAAAAACACATTTTCAGTTTGATTTTAAAAAACCTAGTTCAATAAAACATGTATTCAAAAATATTTACTTAAAAAAAAAATAAATGCGGTGATTATGCAAATATTGCCGTTTTTTTCAATTTCCCTTGGGGGAAATCCTAAAAAAAGTTTTCAAATATCTTTTACTTAAATACAAAAACAAGGTTATTGTGCAAATATTGGCTTTTCTAAAATTTCTCTTAAGGTATTTTCTTTTTTTTTACATTTAATTTTCCTAATAAGCTTCTACATAATTTTCTAAAATATTTCTAATATTAAATTTAGCAATATATGGGATTTGAAATTTTTTATTACTTAAGGGAAATTTTTTTATATGTGGTTTAATGATCTAGAACTAGTTTCTAAATAAAAAAACAAATTTGACTGCATTTCAAAGGTGGCACTTAAAATTTCGCAATTGGGAAATTTTTAGCAATGCACTTTTAACAAAAGATTTGACAGATTTAAGTTTTGTTATCAATTTTTAGTACAGATCCACGTAAAGAAAAGCACTCGTACACAAGTTTTGAGCGGAAAATATTAAAATTTCGAATAAATCCATCAGCTGTTATTACAGTTGCTTTGTATACTTTGGCAACTTCTTATCCGTTTTCTATTTATTCACGAGAACCACTGCATACCCTTTAGGATACGCAATTGTTATAAAGTTTTACGCAAATATTGTCATCTACTTGCATATAACAAATACGCAGAGCGCACTCTTATGTATTTATATATACATATGTATAGGATTATGGTATATATTATATATATGTATGTATATATACACACACATAAAGCGAAAATATTTCCGTCTATTTAATAAAGAAATGCATAGAACTTTACAAATATTCCACAGCATTCATATGCTGCCCTGGGACACTCATATGTGCTACGCTTGCCTGCCTGAGCATGTGTGCGCACTTTCACATACACATACCAACCGCATATGCATTTGTTTGTATGTGTCCTTTGAGAAATTACTTATGAAAATAGTTTGTGCCACGTTGCTGTCAACTTGCCACAACCGCTAAGTTTTCTTTCAACTTTTCCCTACTATACTACTTTCGTGCGTTGATTTTCCAAAGATTTCCAGCGCAGCATCGCTTTGCCATAACGGTTGATGTTGTGTCGCCTGCTTGCGTGTGTATTTGCCAACTTAAGGGGTTGCCAGTTTTAAAAGGAAGTGTATTGTATGAAAGTGCATTTGTATACATATGTGTACGCCAGTTTCGATGTCTAAATAACTCCGCTGTTAGTTGGATGATGATGTGGCAAATTTTCCAACTCGTCAAGTCCCATAAATATGGCAAATATTTAGCCTTTCGTATTTATCAGAAATCAAAATAAGCGCAAAATTTAACAAGCATTTCAAAGGGAGCGTTGAGAGCTGTGCATAAGAAAATCAAGGATTGAAAAAGACGTGGCAAATTACAGTTAAATGCATTTAAAACTTTTCTGTGTGTAAAGTATATGAGCAAATGTTAACAACATGGTATTTTTAAGAAATTTAGTTTAAAATCTTTGAAATACAAAAATTTTTTGATAATTTGTTTTATTACATTATAATTAATGGAATATTTAAAATTTCCCTATGGGATATTTTCATGATCAGTTAAAATTTGAATACAATCTGTATTATATGCCCAACTATAAGGATTATACAACATTTTAAAAATTTCCCTCATAGGGTAATTTCTTTAAAAATAGAGTAATTCTCAAAATAATACTATTTTAACCTAACAGTTACTAAAAGAGGCTGTTTATGTACTTAAGATATCTATGAATGGATATTTTGGAAAATCCAAAAATATGTTGTTTGCCTTACCAACATAAATTTTTGCGTATTTAAACAATATTTTTTTTTTAATATAATATTAATAAATTTCCTTTGAAAGGAATTTTTAAAAATTGTGTACAATTTATTTTTCACACCTTTTATACTTTTATTATTAATATTCTACAACTTTTCAATTTCCTTTCAGACTGAATTAATCAAATTTGATCTCGAAATAAAAATGTCCCAACACAAACTCGAACAACAAATCGAAAAAGTACAATACAATCAAACAGCCGTTATGCTGCTAATAGACACGTGTCAATTGGTGCGCGAGAACACCTCCAGAGCCGTTACCAGTCTCGATAATATGGTTTTATATTTTATGAAAACGAAAGGCAGCGAAAATGATACATCACTAATGGGATTATTATATGTAAGTATAGAAAAATCGGCAGATAATGAATTAAGAATTGAATTAAACTCCAAAAATACCACAGCATGCAAAACCTAATCCTATGCACTTAAATTCTAAAACCCAACCAATTGCTCTGCCTTTACTTTCAGCTCGGCGAATTATACGAATCAATCCGTTGGCCCGTAACACTCGGCTTCCTCACATTACTGCTGCTGCTCTGCACTATATTGGTGATTGGTGTGGCGCGTCGGTCGCGCTGTGCGCTCATCTTCTTCAGCGTATCCGGTTTATTTTGTATTATCATCTGTTGGCTGTTGGCGGGTATTTACCTGGCATCCTCGGTGGCGGCGGGTGATTTCTGTATGCGTCCACATGAATTTATGTGCCGTCAAGTGGGCATGGTAAGTTGATAGCACCAAAACCTCAAAACCAGAACCAAATAAACAGAACAAAACAAAAGCGAAATAAAATAACAGCGCTGCAACGGGTATTTATTATACTCGCAGTCGCGAGTCGGTGAAAGGGAGCAACAAGCAACGCTTTGAAAAATGATTTCCGTGAAAATATTTATAGCGCAAAGGTAGCATAATACCATTTTGTGCCTGAAAGTGTGCTAAAATTTTGATGAGCGCACAAACTGCGCCACTCATGTCTGCCACGCTCTTAGTGCTTGCATTTGTGTGTCCATATGGTTGGTCATACATGACGCTGCATGTTTTCAATATATACATACATACATATATTTGTGGGTGCCGATGTTTTGAGTATGTGTAGCTAGAGAGTTATGCATATCAAATGACCCTAATTGTAGACTTCACTGTAGTGTACAATGCACGCACAGTGATTTTGGGTGCATGTCCTTTGATGATTTTGAAATATGAGTTTCAGAAAAATTTCAAAATTCGTTACAAAAATTCAAAGCGCTCGGCAACACTCTTCCGGTGCAAAACATGCAAAAACAAGCAAGATGTTTGAAACTGTGTGAAGTAATTTAAAAGTGTGCGTTATTATCTGCATAAATATACCAAATTACAAAATTAACCTGTAGGGAAATTTTTTTATGAACGGATTTTCTATAAGAAAGTTAATATAAATACGATTTTGCCTACATTTAGCGGTAATTGAATAATATGGCTAAAATTTCCCCAAAGGGATATTCCTAAATTAGCCGCAACTGATAAATAAAAATTATTGGTTGCATTTACTAACATATTTTTAACCAAAAAAGATCCACTAATTCCCTAAACTGTCCTCACAGTCACTAGATTTTATAACATTGAGCCTTATAACGGTATTTTTATGGAATTAATAGAATTTTATGTAAGCATGAATTCAAAAGTAGGCTATAAACCTGATTACAATTTACTAAGTACAATTTTTTCAAACTTATCGCCACGATTTAATGTTATTTCAAGAATGAACGACGTCACAACATAACATAACTTAACCTCACTCAACTTAACTTAACATAACCCAACAAAGTTCTATTTTCACAAATATCAGCGCAGTTCGTTGGTCTATCGCCCACCGTGCGTGAAGCACAAACTTGCCACTAGCGTGCTTTGCCGGTGTCGGCGTCGGAGCTTTCGTAAAGCACACCCCGGTGAGCTATCAACAGCCTGCGACTTTAGCACCGACACAACGGCCACTTGTGTGTAACGAAAACGAACACATTTAACAGTGGTTTGTTTGTTTCTTTCATTTTTCGTCTTTTTTCGGACGCATTTGCTTTGCTTGGCCATTGTTCATCGTTTCTATTTTTATTTAGATATTTTATATTTATTCAGCAATTGTTGTTATTGTAGTTACTGCATTTTTTCTACAACGCTCAACAGTGTATTTCGTGGCATATTTAATGTGTGGGCTGACAAGTAGATTGCCACTACTTGCACGATTTAAATATGAGGTATTTTATATAAGTATAAGCATGTATGTGTGAGGCATGCTAACTGTGTTTATGTGAGGCTTGCTACTTTGACAACCGAGCCGGCTACCGCTTGTAGAGTACATATACTTATACAAGCATTTATTTTTGTATAACAACTCTGTGCTGTTTGCATTTATTTTGCCGGCTTTCGAATCCTCCGACCCCGCCCCAGCAATCAACAACTGCTGCTGTAGCGCCATTAAATAAATGTGGCTTTTATGAGGTCATTTGCTTGTGTTTGGCCTTTATTATAAAGAACTGCCTTGCCATTTGCGGTAGACCGCGACGATACGATAGTTTTCAATATGAAAATAAAAACAAAAGCAAATACAAAAACATGCATGAAGTGAGCAACAAATTTTCGTTGGGGTAAAAATGGCCCATATTTGGGCGAAAATTTCTTGTTAATTTTCTTGGTTGTGGCTACTATTATTGTTGCTTTTGCAGCAGTTCAGCAACCCTTCAACGAAATAGTAAACACATTAAAGCGCATGAAAATATGTCACAACGATTTAAAGCGTTAGTGAAATAACCTACCATAATGCATAATGAGTTAGCGCCCAAGTGTAGACTATATTTTCTCTTAATGTCATATAAAAGGCAATACTAGTAGTCACAAAATACTAAAAATTATATCGGTATAGTTTAGGGTGTAGTTAAATTAATAAGATTTAGTAAAAATGATAAAATTGAGTCAAAGTTATCGCCTCTAAGTATACCTCATTTCACCGTCATATTAGTTAATATTCCTCATTAATGTGCTTTAAATAAAACAATATTAAAAATGTAAAGTTCACACAATCAGAATGTTAGAATAGAATAGAAGAGATTAATTTTGAGGTATGCACCGCGACCTATGCCCTCCCCTAAGTCATATCGTATCATCTAGACCCAGCATGTTGATAAATTTAAAATTCTGCTGGGTGCTAGTGAGGCGATACAATCCCTGTGTGGAAACATAGATCTGTGGAAACATGGGCCTTCATCAGAATGTTACATCATCAGAATGTTACAAATGATGATATAATCATAGTTAGCGCCTCAAAGTATACCCCAAATTTTCGTAATGTCAATTATAATTCCTCTCTAGTGTTTTCTAAATGAAAAGTAATACAAAAAAGCAGTGTTCACAAAATTATAAAGTTACATAAATGAATATAACCGTTAGCGCCTCAAAGTATACCATATTTCTTCGTTACGGCAGTTGATGATCCCTCTAATGCTTATGAAAACTATCAAATTTATGCCATTAGAGTTTAAACCGTTAGTAAGCTATTATACCTTGAGCTAGCGCTTAAAAGTTTGCTTCTTTTTCCTTAATTCAATTTAAAGAATTTATGCACGCTTAATAAAATGAATTTAAAACTAAGGCAAAGCAGTATTTGAAAGAATTTACTGCGTTAAAGCGACCTAAAAGTGTGCTACATTTTTGTACTTAATTCCACACTGTTGAACTTAAGCTCACAAACATTAAAGCTTTAACTAAACACAGCAGTATTTTTTTTTTTTCTTCTTATTTCTTAACTCTCAACAACAAACTTTTTTTTGCCACTTCTTCCACCCTCTTCAACGTAATGCCCCACTTTCGTCATTGTAACCACTCATTTACGCAGTCATAAAATTTTACTACCAGCAGATAAGTGTCCTTTATTGGCGCATGCACTAATCTACTCTGGAAAAAAGCTTAATAATGCCAACGGCAACGATAACAACAAAAAACCAAAATAAGAACAATAATAATAGTTTGCGCAAATTTTTACTTTCATTTTGATGATGGAAATACAAAACTAACATTTAATGAAATAAAACTAAGGAATAAATGTTTAGAAGTTAGTTGGCACTGCATTAGTTTCCACGAAAAGCGCTTGCAGTTGGCAGTTGACATACTTTGGAGCTTAAAACCCTTAATATGGCAACGGCGCTGACAAAAAAAAATTGATGAAAAAATAATTCAGAAAAAATAGTGATTTAAAATTAAGTTGGTTTTTTGGCGACTTCGCTTAAAGCTGAGTATAACATGCTTGAGCCAGAATGTATACTACATATTTTTTCACACCTTTAAAAGGAAATATTTTGTCTGCATTTTGGGTGACAAGGAGACGATGAGGCAAGAGTTTGAAATTTAAAACGCAAATTTATTCTTACTGATGAAAGTATAACTCTCGGATGTAAAAGCCGTCAAGCCGATTTCATCTACCCACTTTCAAAATCCCGTAATAATTCCCCAATAATAAATCAATTCGTTTTGTTGTCAGGCAAAAGCAATCAGTCGACACAGATAAAACTATATAAGCTTCTTTGGAGAAAAAAAACAAAAAATATGAAATACGAAATGCAAATAACGCGCACAAACCATTAGTGTTAAGTCGGCCTGCAGGCGCTGGGCGCATGCTAAGCAGTCGCATGTACATATATGTGTGTTAAAAATATGTACCGTGATGCACATAGCGTAGGGCATGCACTGCTCCAATTTTCAAAACTAACAAATCCAGCACAATGTCGACGCATCGCGTCCGGCAGCAACAGCTACAGCAATAAAAAGACAAATGGTAAGAGCAAGTGAGCATAGCGGAAGCTCAGTGTGCGGATGACGCTGAACAAAAAAAATTACAACGAAATGCCTTTTGGCGTTAATTAGAACAATGGCAGCGCTAGCAGTCAGGACAGTTTGCTGTTGCTATATGTTTTCTCAGCGTTTCTACACAATGACACACATTTTTTATGCGCCCGCGCTGCGAATGTGAGCGTGAGTGTAAGCGCGGAATTTCTATTGATGAGCTCAAAAGGATAACAATGTTGGGTGCACGCGATGGAAAAAATGTATACACGCACAGGCGAACAAATGAAATGCATACAAATGAGAACATGTATGTGGGTGTGTGTGTGTAAGTCAATGAGCACATACGTGCACACTGACAAATCGCTCTACAAATCTGACTATCTGTCGCGGAAAACGCTGCATTTAGGGCGCACAACGACATATATGCGCTGGAAAGGCGTTTGAAAAAAATCATATAGATAACTTTGCATATGTATGCGTACATACATACACAAGTGGCATTTTATAATTTTTTTCGCGCGAGTTATGACTCTCAGCGTGAAAACGCGAGTTTCCCTTGACATCAATTCATGTGCACACAACCTCTGTGCCAATGCATTGTGCGCCTAGATGTAGGCAATAGATTCAAGTGTGCTTGGCGCAAAAACAAAAACGACAAACGGTTAATCGGCGTTGTCTATTGCAGTTTGCGCTAGTATATATGGTGTATATATATGTGTGTTCGCGTATAAAAAGTGAAAAGAGACAAATTGAGCGCAGACAATTTTTTACAAAAAAATTTGTGTTATATTATAAAATTGTATAGCAAAATAAAAAATATATATAACACATTTTTGGTATTAAAAAAATTTCGAAAAATAAATAACAAAAATGTTACCCAAAAAGATTAAAACGGAAAAGTAAAAAATTTATTT